CCACGACGTTGAACATAACCAACAAGTGTTCCATATGATATCCAATACTGAAGATTATATTGTTCTGCTAGATGAGACCAAACTTGAAGATTAGTCAAAAGGCTTCTTTGACGAGAACGATCACCTGATGTGCATGTTGGAACTTGTTGAAGAGCTTTTTCAATGAGATCATCATTATCTAGTCTTGTAGTTTTGATCTGTCTGGAAACAAATTATTTTAGTCAATAAAAAAAAGTGTACTACATATTTAGGAAATTGGAAATGCCTTAATCGCCTATATAGAAGAGTTTCAAATTGTGTCATCATCATGATTCGATTATCATCGATATATCCACTTGTAGCAATCTTTCTTCATTGAAATCATCATCTTTACTTTCATGAAAGTACGATGAACGTTTTATTGCATTCATGCACTCATTCTTGACATCTTATTTTTTAGCTGGTTAAATTCTTTTCCTGTTAATTAATCATTCAATTGATTATATGTGAATGACTAGCTAGTAAGGTTGATATTAAAGTGAATATTTTTATTTATTTATTTATACTTTAAAGAAGTTTCTGAGAATTTCTTTTTTTTTTGCTTTGTTGAATTTGGTTTTTCTTTTAGATGAAGATTAATGTCATATTTGGCTATCTATGTATCTGCCTATTTTTCTTTTGTGTTGTTTTCTCAAAGTCGACTGGAAAGACAACAGGATAATGTCTAAGACGTATGATGTACTATGTAATTAGTTTGCCTGGAAGATTACGTAAAACCATAGAATAGTGGAGACATGAATAGGATGTCTTGATATAGTAGCCAGGTCTTCGTGCTTTTAGCGAAAAGGGTCCTCGAGCACAAACATAAAAACACTACCTCAAAGTTCTAACCATTTTCGGAAGTTTTTTGACTCGAAACTTTTTTTTTACGAGTTTCGAATGAAAGATTACGAAGTCATAGATCAAAATCATCGTTCGGGGACTGGATGAATAAATCTACACGTTTTGGTTATCCATTTCACTATCAGCCAAGAAAAAAAAAGGAAGCTTAGCAGAACCATAAATAGACAATCTAAAGTTATTCTTCAAGTGAAAGTAGAGTCCAATTGAAGAAAGAGAGAAATTCTTAAAAGAATATTTAACGAACTATTAACATTGAAGATTTCATTCTTGAATGCATTTAACTCGCTTGATTATTATAAGAAACTCACAATATGGATAAACAATTTTTATTTCAGGTAACTTACAACGTTGTCATCTGCTCAGTACTAGTTTCCTGGTTGTTCATTGTTGTCTTGGTTTCTACAAATCTATATTCATCTAATTTTGTCCATGAGCCATTGATGCATTTTGTCGATGATATTTCAACAGAGATTTCTTCATACATATTAGATACGAGTTTTTCTGGTTGTGCTGGACACCAGACTTTTATTCCACTAAACAAACATTCTTCTAATGGAAATGTCCATTCTTTTGGTGATGATTTCCATTTATAATTTTTATTATATTCAGAAAGCATTGGTTTACTATTGTTTTCTATTCTTGTTTGATTTGGATGATAATTATACATAGGCCAAATATCTAGATGAACATTATCTTTTCGATTAATAAATCGTGCGTTAGGTGCAACAAAATGAATGCCTTCAGAATGAAAATATGAACGTTTGTCTTCTCCAACAATATACCATTGTGGATGAACTTTGAGTTCATAGATAGATGAA